TAGCGATTTGTGTCATGTTTTCAATTCAGTACTTTTAATACACTTATTATTATTTTACAAATAACTGTTAATCAGACAATTTTTAACTTGTGAGTTGAGTTACATTTAGTACTTTAAGGAAAATTATATAATTATTTTAGTATTTCACTCAAGTGAACAAAGTTTAGGGAAATTTTAGTACAAAAGTCCATACGATTTGACGTTTAAAGAGATATCAATTTTGATTAATTAATAGCACTATTGATGAATAAATGACTTCATTAGACCACACTATTATCAACGTTTATCGAAGTTTAGTCCAAAATAGACTTTAAAATCAGACGACAATAATATGATAAAAAAGATATTTCGCACGTATTTAACAAAAACATCACTTTTTCAAATGTATGTCCTTTAGTGCACTCATAATTTTAAATCACATACTATTTTGCAGGCCTTGAAATCCAATTGAAAAGTGTTTCTCGAAAAAGTAAAGATACTTTCCTTATTTTTTACATAATAAGTTTATTACAGATACTGGTCTTTATTTGCAACAAAACTGTCGATTCATGGCTTAGAAGGCCATTGAATTTGATATTATTTGGGAATTAATCGAGTTTGTTGTTAAAACACATTGCATTTTTATACCGTGTAATTTTATAACATATAAACATGTTTATATAATAAATGTATTTTTTACATAAAACTATTGGCAAAACAAATATTTCAAATACTAATTATTTTATATAAATTTAACTTTTTTTGCAAAAATAACATGAATAAACATACTGTGATACTATTAATTTAAGTTTACAAATCCTCCAGATCGTTGACATTAATTAATTTAATTGTCATCTTTTGCGAGTTTTTGCGTTTGTATAGATTATTTTCATCCATAATAAGTGATATGAGAATTAAGTTGAGAATTAAAACAATAGATATGATTAATATCGTAAATATTGATGGAATTATTACTAAAGGCAATAGTGATAAACTTAAGGCTAATTGTATTATCCATAGGATTGTCTCGAGAATTAACACATATAATAACTCATAAGCGACTGAAACAGCAAATAACACATTGATTACAATAAATACAACACCGATTGACAACAGAATGGTATAAATATCAAAATCTTGAAGATTTAATTCCTTGAAAAAGTTTATATATTCTTGAATCCTTATTATAAACTCTCCCAATTCACCGATTATTGCAATTATTATCTCACAGATTAGGGCATATTTTATGATACATTTAACGGTTGTCTTAATTTTTGAACACATTTTTAATTTCTTTAATAGCGGATACTTAAAACAATAATAAATAATTGATCAACACAATAATTTAGACATAAAATATTATGATACAGTACAAGGATACGTCTATTTCATAACTGCCTTTAATAATCACAAAAACCAGAATATTCTTAACGATATGCAAAATGTTGGCTAATTTTTCAACAGATATTCTGCTGGCAAATGACTCAAAACTATTCTTTGCTCCAATTCTATGAGAATTACTGGAGTTTTGAATAAAATATTTTGGTTTTGTAGTTAAGTTTTAACTCAAAAATATTTGGCATCTCTTATAACTACAAGAAAGTGTCTAAATATTTGACTGATTCAGAGATTCTGTATATTTATAAAAATAATTATCGCATTGAATGTAATCCTTATGTGAATCGCTGATGTAGTCACTTATTCAACACTAATGAGATTTTTATGATCTTTTAAAAGATGTAAATTTTCTTTAAAAGAAACTTTAATTGAAAGGTAAGTAAATTTTTGGTCTACAAATCACATCATTTGTCATCAGTGCTGACATTTGAAGCACACATTCAATTCATTACTAAAATACGAGCTCTCATTTAGTACAAAATTCTTGAGTTTAGAGATTTTTAATAATTTATTTATAACTTATGTTGTTACTAATGATGTGTCTATTATTTAGATCAACGACATGTGACCCTTAATTAAATAATAATTTTAAATTATAAATTTAAATCTAGCTTATGGACATGAACTTACAAAAATTATAGTAACATTATTAATTCATGTTAATGTGTTGAAAAATTTTAACTTTATACTCATTTTCTATTAAACTTGAAACCTATATTAGCAACAATTTATCAAATTAAGCAAATACACTGTATACAGAATTACTTTAAATTAAAAATAAGTTAGTAAGTCAGTAATCAAAATTTTAACTTTATACTCTTTTTCTATTAAACTTGAAACCTATATTAGCAACATTTTATCAAATTAAGCAAATACACTGTATACAGAATTACTTTAAATTAAAAATAAGTTAGTAAGTCAGTAATCTTGTTTTGTTAACATTTTATTTAACATACGAAACACAATGAATTAATGTTTTAAATGTTAAATAACTTAGTAGTTTAACTATTATTTAATTTAGTCGTGAATATTAAGCAAATCTTTGATTTCTTGTGAATTGCATTTGTCTTTATGAGTGACCGTCGCTTCAGTTATTTTGCATGAATTGCAGAAAACCTTTTCACTGCATTCGCCGATCTTCTCGTGTTTCTGAGTGTAGATATATTTCTCGACATTACGCGACACCTCTTTGAACTGATCCCTGTTGGGAATGTCGGTGTTCTTGAGCTGATCCGCTTTATTAAACAGTTGTTCGCCATCTTCTATACTCTTTTCCACGTCTGCCAAGCGGTCAGGCATACACTTCTCGGCGATTACTCGTTTGCAGAAGAGCTCAGTATTTTGAACGGATTGCAGAGACTGTTCCAAACCATTGAGGAATGCTTTGTCCAGTTTTGCCGTCTCTTTGGCCAAAAAGTCTGCCACCGATTGCTTGACAGCCTTGACGTCGTCGTGAGTGGGGATGCTTTGGGTCAACAGTTTGTCAATTGAGGCGACGTATGAGTCGACCGAAACGGGAGAGAACTTCTTGAATAAAATCAGCTCTTGTTTGGTCTCCTCGAGGAAAGACTTGTCGAGTTTGACTCTCACGGCTTCCGCCACTTGAGGCTTCTTCGCACCTTCGATCAGATTGTCGATTGGCTTAAGATTGCCGCCAAACAGCCAGGGATCTCTCGGCACCGTTTCCCACCACTGGGCCCACGAGTTGTTGTCTTTCAAGAGGTTAGCCTTTCCCCCATAGAATGCTGTGAAGACTTCCGAGTTTTGTTTGAACTCTTGGGTCACATTCTTGTCCTCTCCAGAGTAACCGCCCTTTATTTTGACGACTGATAGGAAGGAGGCCTCGGCGTTCACTATTGAATAGTTTCACAAACAATTTGTATGTTTTAAAGTGAATGTATACATTTTTATAGATTGACTTTTTTATACCTTTGATGTCCTTCTCAGACATCTTTAGGTTCAGATTTGATGACAATTCAATCGACTGCTGAACAAATCCGCCGAAGAAAGCGCTGTCAAAGTAATGGGTGCCAAACGTATCGACAAACTCCTGGTATTTGGCGGGGTTTGCGGCTATAGT